TCTCCAATCCCAACAGAAGGCATGGCCCAGAGTGATGATCAATAAACGGTCGACAAATGAACAAACGAATGGCCCCAAGACCTTCATCCCTCCTGCAACAGGTGACCCACTGGCCCAGAGAAAGACTGGCTGGATCCCAGCAGGCAAGACCCTCTCTTTTCAAAGAAGGGCAGCCTGGGACCCCCACAGCCCACCTGCCACTATGCAAATAACCGTTTGCTGCTCTTTAGAGATAACCTGCTAAACACAACAGCCTATGGGTTCTACAGAGTCCAAAGCAGCTGAGGGACAGCCCCCAGGAGCCAGGAATCGCTCCCAGACCTGTCCATCCACACTGCCTACAGGCACCAGGCATGCCCCCAGCTCCTCAAGAGGGGGCTTGATGAAGGGTTTCTCCCCTACTCCCTGCGGATCGATTTGAGGGAGGGGACCCCAAGCTCTCTGCCTTCTCAGCAGTCCTCTCGGACGAGGACAGTGTCCGCTGCGCAGAGGGGTGCAGGCAGCAGGGCAGCCCCAGGCTGGGTCTATTTATACACATCCCCAGCACCCAGAGGTTACACTGCAGCCAGGAGATGGCGCGGGGCCAGAGCCCTGCTATTTATAGCCTCTCAACAGACCCAGAGGAGCAGGGCATTTCAGAGGCCTCTTCCACGCAGGCCTAGAAGGAACACAGCTCACAGGACACAGAACCCTCTTTCCCACGGCCCCCAACCGCACACACACACCAAAGACACACACATACACACACACACTCACACATGCATATATACTACACACACATGTGCACTCACACATGCATGCACTCACACATGCATATATACTACACACATACACACATATATATACACATATATACACATACATACATGCACACACGCTCACACACTCACACACATGATCTGGACCTCTACACCCATCCTTGTGATGAGTGTGTCAGCTAAGAGTAGAAACAAACAAACAAAAAAAGGCCATAGCCCACTGGGGGGCTGGGCAAGAGAATTCAGCCAAATCCCATGGATTCATTCCAAGAGACCCTTGGGCTTTCCAGACTCCATACCAGGACTTTTTAAAGGACAAGCCTCTGTTGGACTTCAGCCCACAGACCCGAAGGCTCGTGCGTGGGAACCAGACAAGGGTGAGAGGCCCAGGCTGCACCTCCAGGACCAGCCGGGACCCTGGCTAGAGCAGGAAGCTTCCACGCTCACCCCAAACTGATGCTGGTCCAAAGGGGGGATCTGGAGGTGCTTCCAATAACCGCGGGGTCCGAGCAAGGACACATCCTTGTGCAACCAAAGACCTCTTCCAACCCGAACGCTCCGTGGTGAGGGACACCTCCTAAGTCAGCAAGGGCGTCTGTGACGTATACCACTGACGTCACACACTTGGTCTCATATAGTGCAGCTGCGGTGGGCTCCGGCCAACAGATCCCCAGGAATCCTGGGCCAAGATTCCCCCAGAAAGAAGCTGGGCCAACTCCCCGAGCAGAGGGGTGAGGGGGCCAAGCAGGACTGGGTGCTGCAGCCCTGGAGCACGGGGTACATTCTGGGAGATGCCCGAGGACGAGGCCTCATTCCCAGAGTCAGCCCAGAAAGGCTCTCCTGCCACCCGACAGGCCAGCTGTCCTTAAAGTATCCAGGAAAGGAAGGCTTGGGGGTCCCTAGTTCCCTTTCCTGTGGTGCCCACCCTGGGGGGACACACCGGGTGGAAGACAGGCCAGAAGGGAAGGGAGTGCCCTCCTTCCCGGGCATTTCTCCAGGTGCCCCTCTCCAGCCACCCATCACCCCAGACTCCTCCATGGATCCCCAGGGTCCACGGGTCAGTAAGTCCGGCCCACAAGAGCGTGGAAAGAGGCCAGCTCCTCTCCTTCAAACCCACCTCCCACACCACCCCGCCCAGCACTGAGTCCCATCGTAACACCTTTTTCCTTCTACATGGTGAAATGTACCCCCAGTTCTCCTGTTCCTGGCTCCCCCACCTCCAGAAGAACAAACAAAGAACGCCTCTGGCTCTTCCAACAGGCACAGATGTTCTACAGGCCACCAAAACCGGCCTGCTCCCAGCTCGCCCGCCCCCTCGGGCCACAGACTCCTCAAAAGACGCACATACTGTCCCTCCTTGAAGCACCGGCAATAAAGTGGGTGCTGGTGTTCATGTTGTCCCTCTGCCCGGGACTCTGCGGTGACATCTGGGGGGCCTGGCTGCAGCCCACTGGACCTCAGGAGCACCTGGCCCACAGGGTCCCTGGGTCCGGAGGCACCACCGGCCCTCCTTCGAGGCCCATTTCCTCATCCATCCTGTCATTCGCATGTGCTGTGTGTGAGGAGGCCTGACAGCATCGCGGCAGCATCTGAACGAGGAGGGAACGCGTCTTCCTGCAGGAATTACGTGCTCCTTCCACCGTGTGTGGGGGTCGAGCTGCCCGTGATTCTCTGCTCTCTCCCGGCCACCAGGAAGCCCAGCGCTCCCCCGGCACTGCTCCCGGCCTTTCCAGGCGCTGGGCTTCTAACCGCCCTACCGTTTACGCATAGTTTGATTTTAAACCGTCTCAATTCATTGTGCGTATTTTTTTGGTGACAAGGTGTATATGTTTTAAAAAGCAGGGCTTTCCCAATACCTGCAGCCAGCAATGGGGAGCAACTCCAGCAGCACCAAAACAGGGAGCCCACCCCTTCCCTGTGCACGCGGCCCAGCGCTCCCCTGGGACAAAGAAGGCCTCCCCTTCCTCTGCAGCCCCCGTCCCACCCCCTGCCTGCTGGCCCTTCTCACAAGGCGGTCTGCACCCACTGCCTCGACTTCTGCCTCCCTGCCAGGCCTCCCACTGTAATGGGCTTCCACCCTCCACACATACGCACACGCACACTCACACTCCCACACACTCACACACATACAGACTCTCACACCCTCTCACTCACACATATACACTCACACACCTGCAAACTTTCATACATGCACACCCTCACATACTCTCACACACACACACATATATGCTCTCACGCCCTCTCACTCGCACATACACTCTGTGAGGCACCACTCCCTCCCACCCTCCCTCCCTCAGGAACCCCTCCTCTTCTGGGTTCTGGCCCACTGTCCCCTGGCTGTCCTGAGCCCCCCCCGAGCCTCCCTGCCGCAGGCTCCTCTTCCTGTGTCCCTCCGTTAAGACTTGGTGCTTCTCTTACCACCTCAGCACTGAGAATGCCTAGGTCGACAGGCATCTCCTGCCTAGACTCCCTCGTGGGCTCTACCAGCCTTCCCACCCCATCTCATTCACTGCCGTGGCTTTAATCACCAGCAAGGCACCCAGCAAGTCCCAACCCACCTCTCTGCTCTGGCCCCTGCACTGAGCGCCAAGCCCACGCATCCAGGCACCTCCAACACTGCACACCCCACACCCACACATGCGGAATGGCCCCATCGCCCTGTAGTCATTCACCCAGGAAACACTGCGGTCACCAGCCTTGTATCCATTCGAGTGATGTCTGCGCCATGCTCACCACACGCCAGGCTCCACGTGCAGGACGGGGTGAGGGGTAACAAAACAGAAACGGCTTTGCCTCCAGGGAACCTCGATCAGTCACCCAGTCCTGTCTAGTCTACTTACCAATCAGCTCTGAAACGACACACCCCGCTCCATCGCCACAGCCGCTATCGTAGCCCAGGCCCGTGTGCTCCACGGGGCCGAAGGCAGCTCGACCGGATCCCAGCCTGACATGCATGTGCTGGGTGACCTCAGGGTCACTTCTATCCCTGGCTCCGCATTTGGCAACAGAGATGGTAGCAGTGCCTACCTCGGTGCAGCCTTGCTGCGAGGATTAAGAGAAACGAACCACAGGATGGACGGTGCCTGGTAGATGGTAGGCACTCGCTTTCTGCACAATGTGAGCCCTGTTTCTCCAGCAGCCTCGCTCGGCCTCCCCGCCTCTGGCCTCCCCACCACGTGGCCCACACTCCGTACGTGCCCACCACCTGCCAGGTTCCCTCCTGCCCTCCAGCCTTTGTATGTGCTTTTCCAGTTGACTTACTCCCTGGCTTTCTCCCTCCCACTTTCCAAGGTTCAGCTCAAGACCTCCCTGTCTGAACCCCCAGGTTGAAGGGGATGCCCCTCCCTCCCCTGTGCTCCCTCCTCGGGGCACCCTCGGCCCTTGCCCCACTGCCCTGGGACCACTGCTCTCCTGTCTGGCTTCCTTTCTGGACTGGATGCTCCTTAGGTGATAAGAGAACATCGTGTTCACCTCTACGCCCAGGCCTTAGAACCTGCACTGGATGCGAGAGGGCCCCATAAATGCTTAGCAACAAACAAGAAAAGCATGAGAATCATAAAGAGGCAAATTTCAACTCACCGTAACAGCAACAAAACCCTCCTAATAATTAGGCTGCACTTTTTAAACATAAGCTAGTGGCCAGGCTCTGTGCCAAGCTTTGGACACACATCATGTAATCACAGTAACCCTGGACACGGGTACTTTTATTCCTGTTTTACAGGTAAAGGGATGGAGACGTGGGACATTTAAAAATCTTGCTCCAGCGACAGACAGGAAGTCGAAAAGCCTGGATTCAAACCCAGAATTCTCAGACCCCAGATGGGCTTGGCTCTTGATAGGGAAGAACCAGCCTACGTGCCCCCGAGAGCCCCTCCCTGACGGCCACATGACCTCACGGGGATAGTGGGGGCTTCCGGTAGAGGTGGGACTGGATTCCTGAAGAGCCCTTCCTCTTCCTGGCTCTAGGGGTCTATGATTTAAGTTATCAGCTCCTTGGGTTTTCACCTTGGTTTCCCCAGGATGCTTAGCATGAGGCTGGGCACAGAGAAGGCAAACAACAGGCCTGTGCAGAAGGAGGGAGGGAGGGAGGGGAGGGGAGGAGGGAGGGAGGGATGTGGATGACAGTTTATTCTGCACATGCCCAAGCCTTTGCTGGGCCCAGGATCATAACCCAGCAGACCCAGAGGATGCCGGGAAGGGAGGGCTCCCGCCCGTGACACCCCGCAGGGTGGCCATTCTTACCGGCACAGGTGGTCGGTCCGGCACACGCTGCGCAGGTCCAGGCAGTTGGGCTTCTCCTTGTCCTCGTAGGAGCAGCTGGGCAGGATGGTCTGCCGGCGGCGCTCGGCACACGCCTGGTCCTGGCAGGAGCAGAAGAGCATGCGGTAGGTGTACTCGCTGGGCACCCGGTCGAAGAACTGGCGCAGGGCCTTGTGGCACTTGCGGCGGTTGCAGCGCTCGGTGGGCGAGATCTCGCGGTTGCAGATGGAGATGTAGGAGGAGCGCAGCTTCTTGCAGTTCTCGTTCAGGTTGCAGGCCTTGGCCGCGTCCAGGCAGTGGTTGCTCTTGGCACTGACCGCCGGGTCCGCCCCGGTCCCTGGACGGGAGGGGAGAGAGGTCAGAGGGCTGCGCAGGCCTGGGACATGCCCCCACCCACCACGCCTGCTCTCTGGGGACACCTCTCAGCATTCCCTACGCTCTGCCTCAGCTTCCTCGTCTGTGAAATGGGGCCACCTACCAGGGCCTCCCCTCGGGTGTGGTGAGGGTTAAACAAGGATGGACAGGTCCACACAGTGCTCGGGCAGCGCCTGGCACAGGGTACACACGTGTGGTGAGTACACACGTCCTAGGAGGAGGGCTGTTACTCCAGAGTCATATTTAAGACTCATCACAGCAGAGAAGGCGAGCACTCGGTGTTCGTGCGCAGCTCCGTTCACACGTGTGGGAAATGGGGGAGGGACTGGCTCAGGATCACACGGCTGGAAGGCAGCTAAGCCCGGACGGGCCGGGCCCTGAGCACCACAGCAGCGCGCGTGAGCAGGCTTCCGGCAGGGACACCGCTGGCATTGAGGGGGGCACATTCTCACACGGGAGCTTCAGCAGCCAAGGCACAAACAGCACCCCTGCCACCCCTCTCGCCACCACCATGCCCACTGGAGCTGGCCTGCCTCACACCGTTCCAATGCCCCACAGTGGGGCGGGGTGGGGCGGGGCGGGTGGGGTGCCACCGTAGCTGGTTAGTGCCCAGACCCACTAACAAGAAAGCTCTGGGGGGGAGCCTGGCGGTGCGAGGTGCAGTTGAAGGCACGGTCCCGACTCTGCAGGGCTGAGCGCATGAGCAGCCACAGGGAAGACGTGCTGGCTGCTGGGCTCTGGAGTCAGTGCCATGGCTTTGAGTTTCGTGCTGCTGCCCGTGGGCACAAAGCAGGATTCCCAGGAATCGCCAGGTCCCACCCCACAAGTCTCAGCTGTTCCACGGGGAGCACAGCACAGGGGCCAGGCGGCCTCCACCGCCAGCTACTCCCACCTGCAGAGCGCCTGTCTGTCCTGATGACAGACGGTGCGGGAGGCAGGGATCCAATCCGCACTTGCCCCTCAGGTGCTCTGGTGAGAGCGGATGGGCGATCACCTAACCCTGCTTCTTCACTTCACAGGTGGGGACACTGAGGCCCCGAGTGGACAGAGGGCTGGCCACGGTCACCCCGCATGCCGGCAGCAAACCAGAGGCGCCCAGATCCCACCACGGAGTGCAGAGAACCATGGCTTGGGTTTTAGGATGGGCCATATCTTCTCATTCATTCTTCACCCAACAAATGCTTTCTCATCCTTACTGAGCACCACCCCCGTTCTAGGCCCTGCAAGGAGGTGGGAAGAACCTGAGTGAGACACCTAACACTGCACCTCCCCTCCCATGGCCCCGCCCCCCTCCCCCCAGGAGCCTGAGCGCTGCCAGCACGGGTCCGAGGTTCTGGTCCCTGGGTCATTAGAGAGCACGGCCCACCTCTGCACGGCCCGCCCCTGCCAGGTGCCATGTTGGATCAGAAGTGTAAGAGGGGCGCCCATTCTCGAGAGCTCATCAGTCCAGCCAGGAAACCAAGAGGCAGGCGCAGGCCTAGGAGTCAGACGGAGCCTCTCTGTCCACTCCTGGCCCTGCTGCTCATCAGCCGTGGCCTTGGGCAAGGGCTGTAGCCGCCTTTGCTCAGTTTCCCTGTCTACTAAACAGCGCCTGCCTCAGAGCGTTCCTCAGGCATGAATGAGGTCTCTCGTTGTTGTCTCTCTCCCGCATGATCATTTTGCCCCGTCTGCTAGAACATCCCCATCGGCTATGGCATCGTCCATCTTTAAGGAAACATGGCTAAGCTGCCACCCCATTTTTCTGCTCCCCTTTAAAGCAAACCCTCAAACCAGTCATCTATACCAGCGTCTCCTTCTCCCTACCCATTGTCCTGAACTCACTGCAGGCTGGTGTTTGCCTCACTCCCACCCGTGTCCGTGGTCAGGGACCCCTCGGCACGCTGGACACAGCCGGTCGCTCCCTCCGCCCTCCCCTATTGGCTGCCCATCCTCCTGCTGCCTCCCTGTGCTCCCCCACCTGCTCTGCTGGTCCTGTCTTCTCCACCAGGCTCAGCCCCCCTCTCCCTGCACCCTCTCCCCCAGGCCCTCAGATCACCCCACAGCCTTAACTGTCATCAGTAATTCCCAATCAGACCTCCCCACTGAACCCCAGAATCATGTCCACCTGCCTGCTTGCTAGTTCCACCTGAAAGGCTGGCACCGCATCCCAAACTTCACATGCCCCCAAACCGAACCTCATATGTTCCCCCCAGGCTGCGCCCCCCGGTCTCCTTCGTCCCTCTGAAAACGCCGCACCCTTCCAGGGCTCAGGCCGAAAGTCTCGGTGCTTCCTGACTCCGCTCTCAGTCACACACCACGTCAGAAAAACCTGGCAGTTCTACCCCCAGAATACACCCGGAATCCATCCATCTCTCCCCACCACTGCTGCCACCTTGGCCTCAGCCACCACCGACCGCTGTGGGCTGGGAAGGCCTCCTGCCCAGCTCCCCTCGCCTCAAAACAATCCTCTCATCACGGGAGAAGCAAGCGTTCTAGAACCTGAGGCAGAGAAAAGATCCTGGGCCCCAAGCCCCCAGCGACTTCCCATCTCATTCAGAGGCCTTGGCATGGCCTGTGCTGTCCCACACGAGCCACACGTGGCCACTGAGCTTGAAATGTGGCTCGTTTACAATGAGGTGTCCACACCAGATTTTGAGTACTTTACACAAAAAAGTGTAAAGCATTTCACTAACAATATTTTACTTTGATCACATGTTGAAGTGATAATAGTCTGGAGATACTGTGTTAAACGTATTATTAATTTCACTTGGCTCAACCTGTGTGGCTCAGTGGCTGGGCATCGACCTGTGAACCAGGAGGTCACAGTTCGATTCCCAGTCAAGGGCACCTGCCAAGTTTCAGGCTTGGTCTCCAATGGGGGGGTGTGCAGGAGGCAGCCAATCAATG